GGGTGCACTATAAATGGTGCCAAGTTGAATGTGGGGGGGGGGGGGGGGGGTAGTGGCACGGTTAGCCACTAATAACACACGTATTTACTTTTAAGCCACTGTTTAAAATGTCTTTAGTCTTTAGCTACTGCTTTAATAAACTATAACTGCTCGGACGAAAATACCCTTCTGCTCATGTCCTTAACTTTCCTTAACTTTTGAACTTGTAACCCTAAGTTCAGGACTTCAGGACTACATGTCCTTAACTTTTGAATTTGGAACTCTAAGTTCAGGACTTCAGGACTACAGGTCCTTAACTTTTCAACTTAACTTCGGGACTTTAGGACTATATGTCCTTAACTTTTGAACTTGTAACTGTAAGTTCAGGACCAAGTGTCCTTAACTTTTGAGCTTGTTAGTCTAAGTTCAGGACATATTGTCCTTAACTTTTGGGCTTTTTAGCCTAAGTTCAGGATCTATTGTCCTTAACTTTTGAGCTTGGTAGTCTAAGTTCAGGACTTCAGGACCTGTTGTCCTTAACTTTTGAACTTGTAACTGTAAGTTCAGGACCTATTGTCCTTAACTTTTGGGCTTCTTAGCCTAAGTTTAGGACCTATTGTCCTTAACTTTTGAGCTTGTTAGTCTAAGTTCAGGACTTCAGGACCTATTGTCCTTAACTTTTGAACTTGTAACTGTAAGTTCAGGACCTATTGTCCTTAACTTTTGAACTTTTGAATTTGAAACTCTAAGTTCAGGACTTCAAGACTACATATCCTTAACTTTTGAACTTGATTTGTGTTGTTGGTGCTCCAAGGAAAGCCCTACCAGCACCAGCAGCCATTTGTCTTCTACCCAAACCAAAAATTTAAAAATCCCCCAAAAATTGAGACAGAGATCAAACAAGCCATAGGATAAACCAAAAGTTAGGCTGAAACCAACTTACCCTGCGAGACGGAAAGCCATTAGCGACACAACAATCTTCCTTTGAAACAAAACGAACAAACTCTAAATAGTCATTGTCGGGGCTCCGGTTCTATGGAAAAAAGGGTAAAAGTGTCTTTTCATATTAATTTTAATAGAATAGTGGTTATTTTTGCTCAACACTAGAACTGCTGGACAAAAAATAAATATCGCCTTAAATAGTGGCTATCCCACGCCATATTTGGCCTTTAAAACATTATCACTGAATAGTAACAACTGGTCAACTAGTTTGATCTGTTCCCTTTTCAAGCGGAAAGAAAAGAAAATTAAATTCTGGAGGAAAAACAGTCAACGAAGAACCCAAAACACCAAACAATCCACACGCTTAACAATTAGTGTGTATATAATTAAATGAATTGAATAAATATGGACCCTCAACTATACTTGCATAAAATTCACGTTCTTTTTTTTCTTCTTTAGTGTTCAGACAGATTATCTGAATAGGAAAGGTATAAGAAAGAGAGGTATGCTCAACTATATAATAATTGGAGTATCTAAGAAAGAAGAAGGTCCCCAAGTCGCAACACAACCAATTTGACTATGAATAGATAAGGAAAAACAACAAACACACATTTTTTGAGACTTGTACTAAACACCCTTTTTATATTTTCCTGTATTAGCATTAGTTTCGCATCTTTGCATCTCTCTCCTCTTCTTTGAGAGAGATTCAGAGTTGAAGAAAATCTCTCTCCTCTTTATCCTTCAATGGCAAGTTGGGTTTTATCAGAATGTGGTCTTAGACCACTCCCAAGAATCTACCCTAAGCCCAGAACTGGAGCAGCCACTTTTGCCTCTCACATAAAGTTGAGAATTTCACGTACAGATCTGAGTGGTTCTTCAATTGCTTTGGCTAATACTAATAATGAGAGGAATTAGGCATTGAGGGTAAGTGCGATCCAAACTGTCGGAGAAGAGGAAAGTGAGAGAACACATAATAATAATAATAATAATAATAATAATAATAATAATAATAATAATAATAATAATAATAATAATAATAATAATAATAATAATAATAATGGCGGTGGTGAGTTTTTTTACCAGGGGCACCCCCACCATTTAAGTTGTCTGACATTAGGGCAGCTATTCCTACGCATTGTTGGATCAAGAATCCATGGAAATCTATGAGTTATGTTGTGAGGGATGTTGCTATTGTATTTGGATTGGCAGCTGCGGCTGCTTATTTCAACAATTGGGCTGTTTGGCCTTTGTATTGGTTTGCTCAGAGTACTATGTTTTGGGCTCTCTTTGTTCTTGGTCATGATTGGTAATGCATCTTCTTGATTTTTCGTCAAAGTTTTGATTTTTATTGTTATTTGGAGCTTAATTTGGTGACCCCATTTTGGTTTTCTTTGTGTATTGTGTATGCAGTGGACATGGAAGTTTTTCAAATAACCACAAGTTGAATAGTGTCGTTGGACATATCCTTCATTCTTCAATTCTTGTCTGTCTCTTTTCTTGAAAATTATTTAGATTTTTAAGAAGATTATTGTATAATGAATGGTGTATTTGTGGTGATATTTTTTCAGGAGAATATCATCAGAACCATGGAGATGTTGAGAATGATGAGTCATGGCATCCTGTAAGTTTCAGCATTTTCCAAACACTATTTTAGTTGCTTGTTTCAACCTCTGATTTTTTGCTTTCTGAGAAGATTTACAATAGTTTGGATCTTGCCACAAAGAAATTAAGGTTCACTCTACCCTTTCCCTTGTTGGCATACCCTTTCTATCTGGTGAGTACTTCATAGTATCTTTTATATCCATAATAAGTGTGAACTGGCAACAAAAAATGACATTTTCTTGAACTTGAGTTGGTAATTATATCCTAGGGTCTCACTTTGATCCAAACAGTGATTTGTTTGTTCCAAGTGAGAAGAAAGATGTGATGACTTCAACTCTGTGTTGGACAGCAATGGCTAGTGGGATTGTCCTTTGTGATGGGTCCTTTCCAAGTGCTTAAGCTCTATGGCATCCCCTATTGGGTTAGTCCATTTTTCAACCTTCCTTTCTTGACACTCATTTTTCCCCCCCATTTGCCTAACTTTTTGTTTGGAATTCAATATTTTGAATGTTCATGTGGCTTGACTTAGTTACCTACTTGCATCACCATGGTCATGATGATAAACTTCCTTGGTACAGAGGAGAGGTATACTTTTGATTGGAGTTAGATTTTACTATTAAAAATACTAGTTGATAGTCTGGAAATATGTTATTAACATATGTTAGAGATTCTTGATGCATAACTGGTCTAATCATGTCTTTTGAGAAATATTAGCACTTAGCAGTATTATTTTATAAAGAAGCCGACTCCTACTTGTGGCGTAGTAATTGTTATTTTATTAACAAAAAGTTGGGAGTTGACAATCAAACAGGAATGGAGTTATCGGGCTTACAACGCTTGATCGTGATTATGGATGGATCAACAACATTTACCATGACATAGGAACACATGTGATACATCATCTATTCCCTCAAATTCCACACTATCATTTGGTGGAAGCAGTAAGTATCACAATATATATTAAAATGAGGTTTAACTTACATACATCGACAGTATAAAGAAACTCGTTGCTCAATGCAATATGCGATGGTATTAACATGTGTTGATTACTTTTTGAATTTGCAGACTGAAGCTGCTAAGCCAAAGAAGTCATTTTACTTGTTGGGAGTTCTCATAAAGAGTATGAAGCAGGATCACTATGTGAGTGACACTGGTGATATAGTATATTACCAAACTGATCCCCAACTCTCAGGGTCTCAGAAATAGAATCCTATACTACAATTTAAAAGCAGGTGATTCTTTTTCACTAACACTGGCCATTCAAGTTTGTAGTCACAACTACAAAGTAAAGTTAGCTCCCATTAAAGAATGGAGAAGGCATATAAAGTCCGTCGATGAGCAGTTTCAATTGTTGCCATATTGTAATAATTGAGTGGAGAAAGAAATTGTCTTCAGGAACCTTATAAGCCTTTTGTAGGGTTGGCCAAGAAAGTTATGTTATTTGTATTCTTGGTTATAGGAACCTTATAAGGAATACCTTCATTTTTTTTTTGCTGTACGTGGATCCATTAACATCACATATGGAGGTTAACAGATATTTTTTGGGAAAAAAGAAATTGATTTAGACTAACCAAAAGAAAATGAAGGGTGATAAACTGGGGAAAGAAGAAGGAAACAACAAAGGAATGTCACTTTCAATAAAAAAAATTAATAACATTTTACATGTCAGACTAAACCCCTTAAGCACATGTAGCATGTTAATTTTAGCAATAGTTGTTAATTGGTTGTTTTCAAGGTAGTCAATATCCACTCTCTATCATACAAGTCATGTATAAATAAGATAAATAGAAGTTGACGTCTTTATATTAACACAAGTTTGATATGTCATGAGATATTAAAAAATAATTAAAGTTAGTGCAGTTTATTAATCGTAATAGCAAGAAATTAGTACAAGACAGAGAATATTATATGCCACTGCTTTAGTTACCTACTAACACACCGTGGCCAGGATGATAAACTTGTTACATATCCTCTTGGAGAATTTTGATTCTAATTAGATTCCGCTACTAAAGAATTATTTCACTATGATAAGATAGATATCTAAATGACCGGTCGGATTTCCTTTTATAGAAATAATAAAGTCAACCAAGTTTAGGAAATATGTTGTTGTGTCTTTGGAGGTTCTCAATGCGCAACTAATTTAATGATAAATATCAGCTGTATTGGTTTGTCCAGAATAACTAATCTATTCACAAAGATTTTGAATTAAGTTGTATCAAACGTATAGTTATCAATTCAGGCTTACAACAGTTACAGATTGGGCTGTTAGGCAGGAGATACTTTATACTAGCAACAAGAAGACCCATTCACGCTTCAATAATCACATTGGCAGGAAGTAACAAAGTAGCTAAAATGCCTCTGCGGTTTGGCCAAGAAAGTATAGTATCTGTGTTAAGTATCACATATTTTTCTTGTGTGTTGGAAAAGATTTTATCACAATAACGGGACTAAATTCATTAAGACAAGCAAATTGAAAGTCATTTTCAATCCAACAATGTGCAATAGAATTTTACTTTATTAGTTGTCGTCAATCCATCTTCAGTCACGCTTATAGCCCATCAATTGAACTACACAAGGGAAGTTTCTTCTCCTACAAAGAAATTGGTGTTTTTCTAGTAATACATGAGAATAATTAGTGCAATAAATTACAAGAGGAACATTGCAGTTGATTTAAGAAACTACGCTGGGGAATTTGCCTCAATATTTGCTACAACCGTACAGATTTCACTGCGTTCATGAACGATAGTATCCGTGACTCATCCTTTTGGATGCCGTCCTGTCCACATATGCCACTACTCACATCCACTCCATTGGGTTTAAGTGCAGAAACAGCTTCACAAACATTCTCCGGGTTAATTCCTCCTGCCAAGAGCCACCCATGTTTGCTTCTAATGCGCGGCAGCTTAAACTGAGCCCAGTTGAATCCTTTGCCACTGCAAAAGTGAGCTACTACTTAGTTAGTATACAGAGAGCAAGTGAAAATTGGTAACCGGTGATTTTTGCAGGAGTAAAATTCAGCTGTTTACACCTAACTCATATCAATTGCATCATTCATCAGTTGTCATCTATAGAAAGCACATAGATAGGTAGATAACAAGCTTTATTTCTTAATTTAGAGTCCACCACTTACTAAGTCTTTGCTATGAATTCAACTTCTCAAAAATTGTCATTGTCCTCATTGCTACTATTCCTATTCTTGTTCTAACTACAATGTCACTGTTGTTATAGCCTGTTTGGCCAAGATTCTCCCCAAGCCAAAAGTGCTTTTTTCTCAATTTGAGGTGTTTGACCAAGTTTTTTTTTTTTGGGGGGGGGACTGCTTCTGTTTAGAAGCAGAAGCAGTTTTTAAGAAGTATAAAAAAGTAGCTTCTTTTCAGAAGCAGAAGGAATTTTGACTTTTCTTCCTACCAAAAATACCCTTAGCAAAATATAATATAAACCAAAACAACCTTACTTAGTTTAAACTATTAAGTAATATATAATGACTTTTGGGATGAGCTTTCATATTTATTGAATGATTTCTTGATATATTTAAATTATCTTGAAAGAATAAAGTACTTTTCAATTTTATTTTTACATTTTACTTAAATTCAATAAAAAAACTTAATTATTACTTTAATAATAAATATTTGCGATTATTTATCTGCTTATACAACATTAACTATTAAGCAAATCTCTTCATGTCCTTATTTGTAATTTGACACTTAAAAGCACTTTTTGAAAAGCTTGGGCAAACACAAATTATTTTTCAAAAGTGCTTTTCAAACTGATTAGCTAAACACAAATTGTTTTTCTCCAAAAGTACTTTTTTGAAAAGCACTTTTGAAAAAAAACGCTTCTCAAGATAAGCTTATTTTTATAGCTTGACCAAACAAGCTATTAGTCACTTGATTCCTTTCGCATTAGAAGACTCGTTGCTTGGTCATGCTAAAGTTACAAAAACAAGTTTGATTTGTTATGAAAGAATTCAAACAAGTTTAGTAATACCAACAGATATCGAATTACGTCTTCGTTGATTAGCTCGATATCACTTGTCCTTTACATTATCCATGCAATATAAACATGGTTGGAAAGAGACAGTGAATGATTTCATACTCAGCCATGATAGGTTTATGCAAGGAGAATCAATACCTGCCACCTTTTGCACTATCCACTAGAACCCAATCAACCAGAGAAGACTCCTCATCAGAAATATAGTTCAAAAGGCCTCCCTCTTCATTTGCATGAAGTACGTATATTACACGTTTTTCCCTGACCAAAACTGGAAAAGCATCTCGAGAACCATTTCCATGAAGCTGCTCAATTTGCATGTTAATTTTGAGGAATTGGAAACAAGAAATTAAAGATGGTGAAAATTACAGAGGTCCTCACCTGCACAAACTCAAGGTCTGCTGCATCAGAGGCTTTTAGTATTGTGTCAGCATTATCGTCTACAAACACCCCCACTGGCTCAGCTCCATATTCCCGTGCAACCTTGGAAATCTCCTTTGCAGTAGATAGTGAAATAGAACGTTTTGAGTTAGGCCATATGATCATACCAATAAAATTGGCTCCAGCTTCTGCTGCAAGAGCAGCATCTCTAGCTGATGTAATTCCACACATTTTGACTAAAGTCCTACTTTCTATTTGCTCTGTTTGAGCCGAGACCCCTGCTGACTGATTCAAGGTGCAGATAAATCTGTTCCTAGCAGAAGTCCTCAACCGTGTCCTATCTGCAGAATATACTTCTACACCCAATAGACCTGTAAAAATGAAGATTTTGCAAAAGAATGATGCATCATTTTATACTTCAACCAGAACTCTAGACTAGTTAAAAAGAAGGGAAAAGGTCCAAAATTGCCCCTCTACTATACTATATTGTTTCCTTCTGCCACCCGTTATACTATTCGTCCAAACTAGCCCCTACCGTTAATCAACTTTAAAAATTTGCCCCTAACCCTAACAGATCTACACCGTGGCAGCTGACCCTCTCAATATATTCCATGCAAGCTGCCAAGTCACACTACCAAACAACCCCAAATCTGCCACCTCGCCATCTTCTTCCCCTACTATTTCTTCGTCCACACCCACTCAAAGACATCAGCACCTCCCAGGCTCCAACCACCGTTATAACCAAACAATCCCAAATTGGATTCAAGCAACTTCATATTTCCCAAAACAACAACTACTACTGATTCTCATTTTTTTCTTCACAACGACTTTTTCAGATTTCGAAGAACTTGACGAGTTCTTCAACCTTTCTCACTATTTAGAAATGGAGGCTTAAGTTTTCTTCTCTTAAATCTTGATAACATATGTGTTGAACTCCAAATCTAACACAAATATATGATTTCCAGAAGATTTAAACAATAAATCACTGAACATCCATAAAATTTTCAGATCCGTGAACTTGGAAACCCAAAATGGATATTCTATTTTTATTTTCAAAATTAATCCAAACCAAGACGGCAGCAATCTGATTTTGAGCACACTTGAAGCTCAAAACTGAAAAAGTCATGGTTGGGACTCTTTCTTGCAAATTTGCTTCAAAACCGCCATTACTGTAACAAGGAAAGAGAAAGAGAAACTCTCAAGAGCCCATATTTTGGGATTCAATAAGCAAATTGAACCCTCTCGCAAAATGGGTCACGGACATGGTATTTGCATTCAAAGATTTTAACTTTTTTACATCATTAACAAAAAAAATCCCCAAGAATTAGTAAAAAATTTTGGAAAACAATTTGATGAAATTATGTATAGTATTGAATGAATTGAGTTGTTAAAGGTTGACCCAGCAAAAAGATCAAGTTTCCTTCTAAGGTTCTTCAGTTTCCCAGCTAGTTTCATGTCTTATTTGCTGTTTTATTAAGTAAAAATAAAGATTGTATTTAATGGTGGTTGGAGCATGGGAGGCGCTGGTGGCTTTGAGTGGGTGTGGAAAAAGAAATGTTAGGGGAAGAAGATGGTGAGGTGGCAGATTTGGGGTTGTTTGGTAGTGTGATTGTATTGTTTGGTAGTGTGACTTGGCAGCTGACATGGATAAAATTGAGAGGGTCATCTGCCACGGTGTAGATCTATTAGGGTTAGGGACAATTTTTAAATGTTGATTAACGGTGGGGGTTAGATTGGACAAATAGTATAACGGATGGCAGAAGTAAACAATATAGTATAGTAGAGGGGCAATTTTGGACCTTTTCCCTAAAAAGAATCTTAAGGAAATATTATAATAAGTTACTTTTAAAACACCTATCAAGTGGACATTTGCATCTTTCCACGTACCGGTAGCAAAGGTCAGAAAGGAAACTTTTCTATGTAATATTAAAAAATAAAGAAAAATGAATTAGTGGAAAAGCACGAGATCCAAAACCAACGCTCAACTCCAGAATAATATATGGTGTAAGCTTCCTATCCCAGTCCTTGTTGGCATCTCTCTTTTGCTTTGGTGAAAAATCTTAAAGGAGAAATGGAATAAGTAGTATCTGTGGTGATCACCCATTGGTTTTCACATCACGTGGTTTCTTTAGAGATCACTAGCCCTGACCTATTATCTTCTTAAACTATGGATTATTTCTTAAAAGAGTTACTCTCTTTCTTCATCTCAAAAAAAAGAGTTACTCTCTTTCTTCTTGTTTCGGGGTACTATAAGTGCAAATAATGCCCATGTGATCCAGACTTTCACTTACCTTGGCTTCTGCGAATGCCTATTACTCTTGGTTGAAGCTGAGTTCCCACGCTGAACACTGAAAAGACAGAACTATGGCTTAGACTGAGTAAATAGTGAAATTAACCGACAAAATGCTATATACTCTTATGACACTCATACAAATTATTAAATAAAAAGGGCATTAGAATTGAAAGAAGTAGATCTTTGAGGACATTAAACAAATTTTAGCTGCCGAATAAGAGCTCAAGGAAAAAATAATTGGCATGTCTACTGGGCTTACTCTAGTTTCCTTGTTTGTATAGTTATAGGAAGAGCTTTTAGGGTGATGATATGCAGATGCAAAGCTCTTTGGCACACTTCTCTCTGGTGCACGCTGCACGGAGAAGCACCCCACATCTCTTTAATCTAAACCCTATTAGTCTCTGGATGAGATGACACTTATATAGCTTGATAGTTCTGGCTATTGTGTCTCATACACAGTGACACACCCCGTGTGCTCAGCACTCTTAAGAAAGGTGTAAGTACTATGTATAAAGAAGGATAAGCAGAAATAGAAATTGAAGAACCTGAGAGCATCTTTTCTTCCTAATTCCGTTCTACCTCTGTAGAGCTATGCGCGAGAGAAGGAGAGATGCCGTAAAATAGTCCTGCTACTCATCAAATAAAAAAGCAGGTCAAACAGAGGAATTGCAAACACGTTCTAATAACTAGACTAGTCATCCGATACTATCTACTAAAGTAACTAAACAAATACACTTTTTAAAATTAGCAATTAGGCAATTTAGCAGGCAAGCCCTAAATGCAAAACCTGCAAAGCAACATACACCAACAAATCGTGGAGATATCAAGAACGTTTCACTACATGATTGAATTCTAGAACAAGTACAAAACAAATACTCCTTCCGTTCCAAAAATAATGAACCTATTTCCTTTTCGGTCAGCTTAAAAAAGAATGACCCCTTTCTAAATTTGGAAAGAATGTAGCTTTAAACTTCTCATTTTTTCCTTAATGAGATGATTTATAGTCACGTGAACTGCACCTGAACAATTTTTTCAATTTTTAACAATACTAGACCTCACAAGAAAGTAATCTAAAAGTGTCCAGTGTCCTTCGATAATAGGAGCTCCAGCAACTTTCAACACACCAAATATGTACTACAGAATAAAAAGGATGCAAGGGTGAGCAAGTTCACAAAGAAGCACATTTGCCTTTTCCTTGAGTAGAAGAGCTTTTATCCAAATCTCTAGTATCTAAAAGTTCAGAACTCATATATACACGACCCTCTTGTACGCTAATACAAATGAATTATTAGTACTAACAAAAAAATAGTATCTACAACCTCTGCAACACTAAAAACTTGGAGACTCAAATGATGAATGCTCTTATCAAGCTTCATGATTTTCCCAAGTTGGAGGTTGACTTTAACTGGCAGTAAGAATTAGGAAATTTCACTCAATACTTGACTATAAACTTCAAAATCAGTTTGAGTTGAACTGGGTTCTAGCTTTTATTTCTAAACTTAAAGTTGGAAAAGGAAAAGGGAACACAATGAGGTGAACCAATAAAAAGCCTCTCGAAATCCGGCACAATTATCTAGTAAATGTAAGTCCCAATTCTAATTCACTAAAAAAGGTGTTGAGAAATTAATGTTATGGTCTGTAGGCTAATCTTCAGCCTACGCAAATTTCTAGTGCAGACATAAATCACACGCCATTAGCTGAGTTTTTCAAACAAACAAAAGAACTAAAGAGTACCAATTGAACTCAAGGGGGAAAAAAAGCTACATTCAACACATCCAGAACTTAGCTAAATTTTTCCACAAAGAAATAAAAAAGACAAAATCCAAAATGTACCAAATTCAACTGGAGTAAAAGAAGTTCCACTCACTACCAAGCTCAGCAAAAAATTTCAAACCGAAACAATCTATAGAATACCAAATTGAACAAGCTAACGGCAGTGGAACAAATAGAAACCCACATAGGGAAGGTGAAAGAAAGAATCGAATTTTACGATCTTTATAGCAAAAAAAATCGATCCTTACAAGACCATGTAAATTGTCAGATCAGCGGAAATAATTACCTGTGGTGTGGCAGCTGAAGCAAGAAAACGGGAGATGAGATGTGAATTACAATCTGTAGGGGTATGAAATTGGAAAAATCAGAGAAAGAAAGTTTAAAGAATTCCTTTCTCTTTAAAAAGTCCTTTGGACGGGAAAAAATAAATAGGAGTCCAATTCTTTATCGACGCTAAAAAGCCCTCTTTTAATTTTCCTCCGGTGAAGTGTCAACGACTCTAACTCGTCGGTGCATCGAAATGTCTCTTTTGCCCCTATTCTCTGTTCGAATTCGATTTATTGGTTACTTTGACCATTTTTTGAAAAGGATAATTGGCAAATGTTAAAGTGTTTACACCCAATTATGTTAATTTTATCATAGTTAATTTATACTATGCAATTTTACTTCATTAAATTACTTAATGATAATGATTAAATAAGTAACATGATTTAGCATAAATATCCAATTCGAATAAATATTTACTAAAATACTACTTTTTTGTTCAATTTATATAATGTCGTCTAACTAAACACCAAAATTTAGAATGCAAATTTTATACATGATATAAGCGATACTGAAAATCTATTAGTATATCTAGTTACAAGGTAAGTGGTGTTACTATCAACAATAACTTCCGTGTTTCCCTTCCTATCTTAACTAGTATTAGAACCTGCACGATGCGCGAATAATTTGATAAAATATTAATCTTATAAAACTATGATCTAATATATCATATTATTTTTATAACTCTTAGTTGTTATTTTATTATTTAATATAGTGTGCAAAAATATAACAAAATCTATACAAAATCAAAGGATACACCTCATATAGTATTCAAATAAATTATTTGTTCCTTAATTATTTTTTATTAAATTAGCAAGTACTTAGTACTATACATATAATAATGTGACATTTTATTAAATTGTCAATTGACTGAATATTTTGATATTACTTGTCTTTTAATACAACAACAACAGCAACAACAACAATGATCCAGTAAAATCCTACAAGTGAGGTCTATTAAGATAGATTGATGTCTTAGGCGGCTGAATGATAGACTGATGTCTATTAAGTTGGTGGTTGGAGAGTGCACCGTAAATGTCGTTAGCGCTTATGCGCCGTAAAGGGCTTGGATGAGGAGGTTAAGAGGCGCTTCTGGGAAGGGTTGGATGAGATTGTACGTAATATTCCGCCTGCTGAAAGGTTATTTAAGAGGGGATTTCAATGGTCATATTGGATCGACTACAAGCGGCTATGACGAGGTGCATAGCGGCTTCCGTTTTGGTTATAGGAACGCAGAAGGTACTTCACTGTTGGATTTCGCTAAGGCATTTGAGCTGGTGATTGCGAAGTCTAGTTTTCCAAAGAGGGAGGATCATTTGGTTACTTTTCAGAGTAAGGTGGAGAAGACTCAGATTGGCTTTCAAGTACTTTATTCTTTCAAGATAATTTAAATATATCAAGAAATCATTCAATAAATATGAAAGTTCATCCCAAAAGTCATTATATATTACTTAATAGTTTAAACTAAGTAAGGTTATTTTGGTATATATAATATTTTGCTAAGGGTATTTTTGGTAGGAAGAAAAGTTAAAATTGCTTCTGCTTCTGGAAAGAAGCGACTTCTTTATGCTTCTTAAAAACTGCTCCTGCTTCTTACCAGAAGCCAGTTACCCCCCCCCCCCCCCCCCCCCCCAAAAAAAAAACTTGGTCAAACACCTCAAATTGGAAAAAAAACACTTTTGGCTTGGGGAGAATCTTGGCCAAACAGGCTATAACAGTGACATTGTAGTTAGAACAAGAATAAGAATAGTAGCAATGAGGACCATGACAATTTTTAGAAGTTGAATTCATAGCAAAGTCTTAGTAAGTGGTGGACTCTAGATTAAGAAATAAAGTTTGTTATGTACCTATCTATGTGCTTTCTATAGATGACAATTGATGAATGATGCAATTGATATGAGTTAGGTGTAAGCAGCTGAATTTTACTCCAGAAAAAATCACCGGTTACCAATTTTCACTTGCTCTCTGTATACTAACTAAGTAGTAGCTCACTTTTGCAGTGGCAAAGGATTCAACTGGGCTCAGTTTAGCTGACGCGCATTAGAAGCAAACATGGGTGGCTCTTGGCAGGAGGAATTAACCCGGAGATTGTTTGTGAAGCTCTTTATGCACTTAAACCCAATGGAGTGGATGTGAGTAGTGGATCACATGTGCATTATTTGCACTTATAGTACCCCGAAACAAGAAGAAAGAGAGTAACTCTTTTAAGTGAAAGTCTGGATCTCATGGGCATTATTTGCACTTATAGTACCCCGAAACAAGAAGAAAGAGAGTAACTCTTGTCACACCTCCATTTTCTCTACACCCCGTAAAGGGGTATATAAGGGAGTTTTTCCCAACTTAAAGTGACAATCGAAACGGGATTATTTATTTAACATTCATAGTCGCCACTTGGGATAATTTATTTTGTCCCAAATCACCGGTTCAAATCCCGAATCGAGGAAAGATTGACTCTGTTTTACAGTCCGCGAACACAGAAATCCGAGTAAGGATTTCTGTTAACCCGGGAGAAGGTGTTAGGCATTCCCGAATTCCGTTGTTCTAGCACGGTCGTTAACTGTTATTATTGGCTTGATTATCTGATTTTAAAACACTTTTAAACCTATGTGCATTTTAACTTTAAAACCGCTTTTAATTATTTTAAGGAAGATTTCAACGCCATCTAAAACACGTCTTTGGACAGCGCCACATGAAATGCACCCGCAGTCCGAGACACCTTTTATTTAACGTTGTTATGATTTGGATTTGGGTCACATGAAATGCACACCCGAGTTTAGGAAGATAATTTTAAATTACGCGCCTAAAGCAACTACGTATTTTTAACTTTGCAAGGGCCATGGAAATTTCAACTAAATGGAACGCCTCGAATTCTAAGGATTTAAAATTAATTAAATGAGGGCCATGCATTTTGAGATTTTATTTGGCACGGCACACCTCACTTCCAAATTTAAAAGGAAATCCAAACTAAATTTTGGAGGGCCATAAGCTATGTCTTGCCTAATATGGCACGCCCCAAATTTATTTGTCTAAAATATTTCTTATTTCAGGTTACGAGGGCTACAAACTATATGGAGTTGTAAATCTTCCTACTCATCTAACTTAATATCCAATAAGAAAATCAACTAGGCAAGAAGTAGACTTAAACAAGTGAAACTCGATTTTCAACTGATTCTTAAAAACACAAAGCAGATAACCACCAAAGAAAATTTCACATAAATTGACTCAAATACATGTGCAGCTCTTTTTTTTGCTTCTCTGATGAGATTAATCCAATTACCAACTCAAATACCAACCAAATGAGCAAACCAAATAGACCTTCAAAGGTATTGATCCCCTCAAATCAGAATTTTTACCATAACCAATGCTTTCAACAAATCTTAATAAATAGTTCACTTCAAAGAAAACAAAACAAGCAACTAATTCATACATCTCAATTTGACGTGAAGTATATGTGCATCTGACCCAACAGGCTTCTCATACACGGTCTTACTCCTTTTCATAAATTGGAAATGCTTTAACATGTGTATTGGAGACCAAATGAAAACCAAACAGATTCGTTAGTGATTCTGACTTCTAGGCAATTCGTACAAGAGCTAAATCAAACAGATGACCCTTCGTGACCATTTCACCAACTTCTGAAAATTTTAACGAGAAAGAGCACATGTTTAATCAATCTTGACCACAAGAATATCACTTCGGTGCATGGGATGCCAAGTAACTGCTCACAAATGCAACAGATGCATAGTTTCGAGAATATGGAACTTAAAACTGCATTTTAACATGAGACAGGGATACAAATTGGCGCAAGCATCGAATAGAAACTAGCCAAGGCAGATAAATCAAAGCATTAATAAACCGAAGCTAAGTCGATCACCCATAAATGAAGTTATAACCTAAACACTTCAATTTCCAATTGCTCATGTTCAAACATATCAATCCACGAAACCGAATTTCTAACAACAAAACAGAATATCAGACATCTGTCCTTAAGCACAAATTGAGACTACAATCACAGTAACTAAGAGAATAGGGCATCACCATATTTCAATCACAGCAATACGAAAGTAACATCTAGAATAATAGAGAAAAGGAGAAAAGATGAACCTGTTTATTCGAAGTTCTTTTAATAACAATAGAAGAATCAGCAGATACAATGTTTTGTTCCAAAACTCCAACTGAAAACAGCAGTGTTATCGAGCAGAAACAGCAGGCCAAATCGAAACCACGAACCTCGGATGGAAACTCGAATCGGCACCGGAATTTTGAATCCGAACACGAACTCAGACTTCAATCAAACTCTCTCTTTAAAAATGGAAATTCGAATTGGATAGAAGAAATATTTTTGTTTGTTTGTTTGTTTTTTTTGAAATTTAAACTATACTAAGATCTGAAAAAACGGAAACAAGAAGCAGAACCCTTTCTTTTGTGAACCCTCGCTCTTACTTCTCTTTTGGCAGAGGTGGGAACGGTGAAGAGATGCGGCTGGTGGTCTTGGGGAAGGGAGAAACGACGGCTCCAAGCTGGGTTAGCGGTGAAGGTTGTCCCTCTTCTTTTTGGAGCTTTTCTGATTTTTTAAGCCCTGGGGTTCTGAGTTGTAAATTTCAGCTGGTTCTCAAGGCTTGTGTGAGTGTGAGTGTGAGTCGTATTTGGTTTAGGTAGAAGCAGCAACGAAGAAGATGAGAGTGTGAGGAGAGAATGGAGAAGAAGGGGAAAAGCTGCGCTCATTTTTGTGTTCAGGATCTGATCTCCCTTTTAAGGTTTGAGATGTTATAACTTTGATTGGTGGTGCTTATATATGTTCAATTTAAATGGTATAGTATATGATAAGTTATATAATAGTGATATATATATAAAGTATAATACACATTTATAAAGAATATGTATGGTATATTTTGTTTATATATGACATATTGATGAAATATTTACGTTATAAATTATCACAATATAATATACTTGAAATATATTAAAGGTATATTATGAGTAAAAATAAAATTATACAGTAAAAAGTTCAAAACTTAAATAAAAAAATACTAAAATTCCCATTGTGCAACCTAAAGAGCGGATTATTTTTTAGATATTCTTTTACCAGAATCTTTTTTAACTTTGGTAAGTATTATTTATGGAAGAGAAGAAGAAAATTATGGAAGAAACAGGGAAAATGGATCCCTTAATTAATGAGTTACCAACGTGAAAGTGCTATAAAGTAAAAAAATGTGCCAGTTTTGGAATAAACAAATATTACTATCATTTATCAAAATAGTTTTGAAAAAGTGTCACGACCCGGATTTTCCACCCTCGGGAGTCGTGATGGCGCCTACTAATGAGAGCTAGGGAAGCCAATTTTAATTACCTTTCCATTAATAACATAATTCTTATAACCATTATCGCAATAATACAAAAGTAACGAAATTAAATAATAAACGGAAGTCCCAATATTATAGAAAACTGAATAAAATGTGGAAAATCCCAACAAAAGCCTCTACCCAAGACTGGTGTCACAGTTTCACAGACGGTCTAAGAATACTACACATAAAGGTTTGAAAGAAATAAACCCGACACTGTCTCCAGAAATACATGAAAGAAGCAGGAATATAAATGAAAGGAGACGCCAGGGCCTGCGAACGCCTGCAAGGCTACCTCGGGTCTCGCTGGACTGAAGGCTTGCTCTTACGCTACTGTTGCTGCCGTCCGAAGCCTGGATCTGTGCAAAATAGCACAGAGTGCAGTATCAGCACAACCGACCACATGTGCTGGTAAGTGCCTAGCCTAACCCCGGCGAAGTAGTGACGAGGCTAGGACCAGACCACCAAATAAACCTGTGCATATATATATACAAGTACAACGGAGAAGTAGCAAGAAAATAACAATTTAGGCTGGGAAGGGAGCATGCTTCAGGGGTAACAATTAGAAATAAAATATCAGGATTAATAGAGAGTACATCTCAATTTAACTTCTAGCAATAAGTGAAGAGTTAAGGCAACTTTCATATCCAACTCATCTTGTTGCAGGCGTGCAACCCGATCCCATTTCTCAACAGCTCGTCGTAGGCGTACCACCCGCTCCCACTTCAATTAAATCAACAGTTCCCCCACAAGAAATTTACTCTAACAAACGTAACAAGTAATACGAGTTCATAAGACAACAAGTACACGAAAATCATGATTCACTAAGGAAACACAATTAATGACAAGTAGCAATTAATTAAGGATTATAAGGGGGCAATTAGGCAATTTAGTAATTTAACATGTTGAATGTCACGTAGCAAATAAGTCACATAGTCATGAAGCAATTTAGGCATAAATTCAAGACATAACGTTACGCAAGGACACCCTGGTTCAATAATAACAAGTAACACGATAAAGGGAAATGTCAACGTAAAGAATCACAGAAATAATGGAATAAGACAAGTAAACAATATGGGAGGGGGAGCATACTGTGGGGAGAAAACAATATTACTAGTAAGTCCAGAATAACAATCCAAGGGCAGCTTGGAATTTACAGCGGACAAGAAACTAATCCCCAAAATAAACACACTTATATCAATAATTGCTGCGGCGCGCAACCCGATCCCAATATATAACAACACTGGTGTGGCGTGCAACCCGATCCATAAATATCATTGTTGCGGCGTGCAACCTGTTCCATATCATTTAACATTGTTGCGGCGCGCAACCCGATCCACAAATATCATTGTTGCGGCATGCAACCCGTTCCATATCATTTAACATTGTTGCGGCGCGCAACCCGATCCACAAATATCATTCAATGCACGGCATCACCCTTCGTGCTTTAACACTCTTCCTCACCCAATCAACAATCACAAACAAGGGTAAGGGAAATAATAAAACAAGAATAGGAGCCCTGGCAAGGGTACACAAACCAACAAATAAAAAACCCGGCAAGGGTACAACATCAATAACCACAACGTCCCGGCAAGGGAAAATAATCAATAAGCAACAATACCCCGGCAAGGGAACAATTTAAATACTCTTTCTCTTTCTTTCACTTTTATTTCATATCTCACTTTACCACTTGAGCCAATGCTCCAAAGGGGTTTAATCATTTCATACACTTTCACATGTGTGATATAACTTGAACCAATGCTCCTCGATGTTCATAGGTCACAATTTCCTTTCACAAGCTTTTCACAACAATTAGGAATCATCACCAAGGTATGAATAATACAAGGAAGTCATGAAAATCACAATATAGGACCCGCGGTCATGCCAGACACCAGTGTATAGATACTCGTCACCATGCCTATACATCGTACTCGACAATTAGCAAGTAACAAATAAGACTCTACTCCTATTCCCTCAAACCAAAGTTAGACCAAGCACTTGCCTCAACTTCCGAGGCCAATACGATCCTCCACAACTCTCGAATTCGGCTCCAACTCGACCAAATCTATGCAATAAGGACTTCATGATATCAATATATGCTAAACAAATCCAAGCCAATGACTAATTGTAGCTTTTTCATCAATTTACCCCAAAAGGTCAAAAATGCCCCCGGGCCCACATGGTCAAAACCCGAGGTTCGAACCAAAACTCGTTTACCCATTCCCCCAAGAACTCAAATATGTAAGTTATTTTGGAATCGGACCCCAAATTGAGGTCCAAAACCCCCAATTTTAGAAAACCTAGGTTCTACCCTAAATTCCCAAGTTCCCCATTAAAATCTTTGTTTTGAAGTTGAAATTATGTTTAAGGATGTTAAGGGGTAAAGAAAATCAGTTAGAAAACACTTACCAATCGTTTTGAAGAAGTAGAATCGTTTGGAAAATCGCCTCTTATGTTTTGGGTTTTGAAAAAGTGAAAAATGACTGAAAATCCCAACTTTATATACTGCACTGAAGACCCGGCGCGGACCGCACAAAAATGCCCCGCGGCCGCACCGAGGAAGGGTGGGGAACCCCTCTCTGAACCTTCCAGCGCGGACCGCACTGTTTAGTCACGCGGCCGCGCTGGTCGACTTGGACCACTTCCTCTGAACCTAGCCACGCGGACCGTGCAAGAATGCACCGCGGCCGCGCGGCTTCCAGCGCGGACCGCGCAGAAATGACCGCGGCCGCGCTGGGGGCCTGCAACACCTGAACCTGCAACCATCTGATATTTCTAGCCTAAGACCTCTCGGGACCTACTCAAAACTCACCCGAGCCCTCGGGGCTCCAAACCGTACATACATATAACTCAAAAACATCCTACGGACTCATCCGTGCGATCAAATCGCCCAAACAACCTCATAATCATCAAATTAGGCCTCAAGACCCAGGATTTCCTTCCAATTTTCATAAAACATCAAGTTTAGAGTTTTTAGTCCAAAACACGTCAAACGACGTCCAAATCTAACCGAACTTTACAGCAATTGCTTAAATCATATTTAAGACTTGTGCCAGGCGTCGAAACCAAAATACGAGCCCAACAGCACAATCTTCTAAACAAATAACACTTTCAAATTCTTTAATTATTTTCAGAAAACAATTTCGCACAACAATTTATTTCTCGGACTTGGGACCTCGGAATTTGATTCCGGGCACACACCCAAGTCCCAAAATTTCCTACGGACCCTCCGGGACCGTCGGATCACGAGTCCGGGTCCGTTTGCCCAAAACGTTGACCGAAGTCAAACTCAATCAATTAAATACCAAGATTTAACAATTTTTCTCACAAATTTCATATTTAAACTTTTCCGGCTACGCGCCCGGACTGCGCACACAACTCGAGGCAACCCCAAATGAGGTTTCCAGGGCCTCAGAAGTACAGAGGGAGTAGGAATACAGGTGATGACCCTTTGGGTCGTCACAAAAAGGGAGCAACCATGTAAAAATATCAAACGAGCAAAAAACATAACTAGGCAATATCTAAAGAAAATTTGCAAAATTATAGCAATATTAGTTATTTTCATCCACGGCACCTAAATATTTACATATCCTAATAGCGGTCAAATAAATGATCCTAAAAGTAAGCTGGAAAATAATCAATCCCATTGGAAACTGTTCCTATTTTTCGCTCAAATTTTTAATCTTCCATAACTGGTACAATCCTTCCATTTCTTTGCTCTTCCCTTTTCTACTGCCTTTCTTTCTTATTTTCTTATGCAAAATTCTTCTTTTCATTTCCTTCGTTAGAGTTTAAATTTGAATAATAACATATTATTTTAACATGTTATAACTTTGATTGGTGGTGCTTATATATTTTCAGTTTAAATGGTATATATGATAAGTTATATAATAGTGGTATATATAAAGTATAATACACATTTATAAAGAATATGTATGGTATATTTTGTTTATATATGTATATAATTTATATATGTGGTATAAATACATATAAAAACTATATATGATATATTGATGAAATATTTACTTTATAAATTATCACAATATAATATAATTGAAATATATTAAAGGTATATTATGAGTAGAAATAAAATTGTACAGTAAAAAGTTTAAAACTTAAATAAAAAAAATACTAAAATTTCCATTGTGCAACCTCGTTAAAGAGCGGATTATTTTTTAAATATTCTTTTACCAGAATCTTTGTTAACTTTGGTGAGTGTTATTTATGGAAGAGAAGAAAAAAATTATGGAAGAGAGAGGGAAAATGGATCCCTTAATTAATGAGTTACCAACGTGAAAGCGCTAAAAAGGTAAAAAAATGTGGCAGTTTTGGAATAAACAAAGATTACTATCATTTATCAAAATAGTTTTGAAAAAGGGAGCAACCATGTAAAAATCTCCATTTATTTGGTTTGATTTTGGCTTTTAAAATGGCCCAAGTTC